ACGTGTAACATATTTTTGAAGAAAATTACCTTTCGATTCCCCATAGTAATGTTTTCTCTCATCAGCGCTGTATAAAGGCTATCACTGAGGCCCTTTACAGTGAGCCGAACATTACCATTGTCTGCACAAGTTGGTCGTTCAGAACCTGCTCTTCGAGTGTAGGAATGCTCAATTCGATCCCTTTTAACAGTATCGAATCAGTATTGGTTTGTAAAATTCATATATGACTTGCAGTTCTCCGAAATGCGCATCCAGATTCTCTAATGTTCACAGTCCCCACTCGCACTCAAACGGTTCCAATTGAACTAAAGAATCATATAGGATGTTAGCTTTGTACAATGAAATCTTTACTGCACTGAACCCCATTCCAACATGAACCACCGTCAGAGACTCAAAATATAAATCGTTTACTGCTATGAGCGTTACTAACTTATAAGATGGACAAATATCTCGAATATTTCGTCCTGATATCAAATATCTACAACTCATATTAATACAAGTTTATTTTCAGTCACTATCTATCTATCTATCTATCTATCTATCTATATATATATATATATATATATATATATATATATATATATATGTGTGTGTGTGTGTGTGTGTATTCTCTTCACCGTCTTTTGAAAGGAGTAGAGGTTTATTCTCTTTCTCTCTCTCTTTCTTTCTTTCTATTTACCTGTCTCGGTCTTCTCATTATATATCTAATGAATGATCTTACACAGTCTGAATCTATATCTTTTAAGCATATGTATTTTTTGCAAGTTGGAATATATCTTCGGGAAGATGATTTCCATTGTCTACCATAGTTTGCTACAAGGTTACACAGTAGTAATGCTTGCAGGAATTCATAATACACGACACTAGTATTAATGTTCACGAGACGAACTTACTAAACATTGTGCAAAGTTAGGCAAGGTGTCCATAGGTATATGCTTAAAAATATGAAAACTGTTACATCTCTGTTCTGGCTATGATTCAACTTGGTGTCGCTGGAACTGCAATTTCAAGAGTTTTAGAATTAGATTATTGATTGTCTTCGAAACGAGAAATTTTATTAGAGATATGTCGCAGTAGACATGTGGGAAAATTTCTGAAAATTAAAAGCGCACTCAAAGTGATAAAACATTACACATATGAGTGGGCATTGAGGTCAAACCGATAGTCTGTTTCATGCGTGAACGCAATCTTCATGTCCTTAAGATTGCATTCAAATATGAAACAGACTGTTGCCTCCCAATGTTGATTCAGTGTCCACTCTTATATTTACACACGATTAATCCCCGATATTGAATACTTTTACCTATAAATATAGCATACGCTAAAAAGTAAAAATATCTATAAGAACACCGGATTATATATCTTTCTTTATATATATATATATATAGTGTTATCCATAGACTGTTCCGCTGTATCACAGCTCATCAGTATGGCTAGACGTCCGGTTACCTCTATGTGTGTGTGTGTGTGTGTGTGTGTGAGAGAGAGAGAGAGAGAGAGAAGAGTGTATATAGGAATCAACAAGGATTGGTGACTCTCATTGTCCTATTTTCTTAACAGTGGAATTAATGTCTAACGGCCGGAAATGTGCCTCTGGACAGAAATCGAAATTATATATCCATACAGTTAGTTGATCCTCAGAATTAAAAGACTGGAAATGATGTAATTATAAATGTAGCCATCTCAGAAATTTAGACAGAAATTATTCTATACATTTTCATATCCGAATTGCTATAAACTTTCTGAAAATGTAATTCTCTTTTATAAACCATTTAAATGGAAATTTAGTCGCGTATAGTGATCTAACTAAAATCCGTAAACTTTTTTTAAGGGAATTCTTGAGAATAATTATTCCGAAGCTAATTAAGGTTAAGCATAACGGTTAGAACAACATTTCAAATATTCTCATTAATTAAAAATATCCAGCGTTTTGTTTTATTTTTAATTATTTTATTTAAATAAAACCTTTTTGTTGTTGTGTCTTCAGTGTCTAATTTTTAAATGAAAAGGCGCTGAAACTTTTTCACGCCCATAGTAATTTAGCTTGCAGGTGGTGCAAAAGTTATTGATTAGTTCAATTTCCCGCTGAGAAATCTGTGTTCACTTTCTACTAATATTAGTGATAGTGGTAATATCAACCATTTCCTTATAAGAAAACATCCGGCATTCATTGACCGAGCAGCCATTGGTACTCGTGTTCATTCCCTGGCGATCGAGCTGCGATAAAAGTGTAGTGTCTGTTATCCTCATCTCTAATAGTAATGCTAATATTAATCTGTTAGTAGTTTAATATTAATTTTACTTATTATAAAACGCATTGTGTGTGTGTGTGTGTGTGTGTGTGTGTGTGTGTGTACGTTTATATATTGGATCGGATTTCCTACATTTTTCAACCGATTTCAACAAAACTTCACAGGACTGCATAAAATTACCTTGCAGTGGTTCTGACAGTGCCAAAAATTGGAAAAACACAATTGTTTTTGCACGAAATCAATTTGAAAACACGATTAAGAGGCGTCACGAGAATGAAAGGGGGACAACTCATGTCGAGTTATACTTATAAAACCCATGTTGTTTGTGTGTGTTCGTTTATATATGGAATCAGATTTCCTACATTTTTCAACTGATTTCAACAAAACTTCCCTTTTTTTGGCAGGTAGTGTTTCTTATTGTCTTGCACACTTTTTTCTTTATTTTTACATTCAGAATGCTTTAAAAATTTCATTTACAAGACAATTGTTTATAATAAAATTCTATTCAATCGATAGACTCATAACGATTGAAAACAATGTTTTTGTTTGAGTTTGGGTTTGAACAATTCGTAAAAAAAAACACTAATTGAGACATGCGTGTCCGCCAACCTTAAACAATAATCTTTGTCAATTTTATTTTTCAGTCTTTATGATGGTCGCTACTTGATCTATCTCTTACTGTTACATTCACGGGCAATGCCGGGCTCTACTGCTAGTCTAATATAATGCTAATATCAGCTGTGATTCTTTATGTAGAAACAGAATTGATTAGTTAGAGCTACTGTCGATTGAAATCTATAAAATCCTCCCCTTAAAACAATTTTCCAGGAAACTGGATTTCTTAAGTACAGTAACTGTTAACGCCGGTCCCAGTATTAATATGGGTTTCCTTTCTAACCTTTTGTTTGAAGCAGTGTGGAATGTCAACATCTTGATTGTATGTAATCACTTTCTCTTAGAGTTACATGTGCTATTCATTTTATTGTCACTATTGCTGAAAGTCCATACGTGATGTAATTTCTGTTATCTGATAAAGTTCTTTGTGATTCTGTAGCGCCAATTCTTGAGGTTCAAAGAAGAATGGTCCTTGCTAAGTTCTGCAATCTTCATTCCCTCGAAGCCATTTTTAACCATTAATCTGAGAAAGCGGTTGTATGCAGTCAGCAATTTACATATTTCTGGACTATCTGACTATTTAAGAACACTACTCAAATTTCAGGTAAATGTTTTGATTTTGTAACAATTTATAATGTTCGGCTAAATCAACCCTAGCGCAGCTCATATGTGTAATTTTCTTACTTCCTATACTAAATTTGTTGTAACTGATTTACACACAAAGATGATTGTAGTGTTAAGTATTTACTACTTACATCTCCTGAATTTTTATGATGGATTTTGGTTACGTAAATTCACTGCTTTTATTCCAGCTTTGCAGAAAAGAATTAATCCACCTTTCATCATCTACATTAATCTATAAGGCCTTGATTCTCAACACGGTATCTATGCTGATGACACATCTACTTTACTCCTGAGTAAATTGTAACGCTTATCGGTTCGTTAAGGTCAAATTGACAGCTGATTAAAAAAAAAAAAACAACAAAAAAACGACTTACTATATGTCGTTAACTGGGGAAATAAATGGCGTGTTAATTTTGACGCCTTCAAAACGAAACCTCTCTCTTTTAATCGCCTTTTTTGCCTTCATGACTGATGATAACCTCCAGGAGAGTGGTTCCTTACACCTTCTCAGGATAACGTTTTCCGCTTATATGAAGTGGAAATTTTATATTGAGGTAAGTCCTAGGTCTACTGCGAGGAAATTTGTTTCACTGTGTCATGCCAGACAGTTTTTTTCTCACCGAATATAGCTTACATATTTAGAAGTCTTCCATACTTTGAATATTGTTGCCATATATGGTCTGATGCTCCTGCTATGTATTTAGATACTCTTGATAACATCTAAAAAGAATATTCAATATTATCGGTCTTGACCTGGCATCTCGGCTTCATTTACTTTCCCACCATCGTAAAGTAGCTACCCTGTACCTTTTCTACAAATTATTTTTATGGTAATTGCTCTGATGATCTTTCCTCTTTAGTATCTAGCCTTTATGAATTTAAGCGCAGTACTAGATTGGTAGATAGATTTCAATTTTTACAATGTTTTCGTTTTCTTATATTCTCTCATACTCATTAAACCTTGCGTCTTAATGACTTTATCTCCTTTCTTGTGGTGAAATGATTAAAAATGAAATGAAAATAAAACATTGACAGCAGGCAGGTGTTTGAACAAATGTGTGCTGTGATCTCGCAACATTTTCACTAATAGTTTTTTGTTTTTTTTGACATTAGTTTTTCTTGATAAAATTTATATTCATATATTGGCTGCTTCTTTTATCACACAGGGATAAAGTTTCAAAGTTTTGTTGCTTTTTTATTTTGTGTTCTGTTTAAAAAAAAAAGAAAAGAAAAATAAAACAAACTAAAAACGACGTCACTTGTTCTAGTTATGCCACGGATTACTATCTTTCTCAATATTCTTTTTATATATTCTTTGTATTCCCGTCTTTGGTACAGATCATTTTATTCTGTTGGATGTGTGTAATCGACTTCAAATTAAGATCGAAACTGTTACGTTCATTTACTAATAGCTTTCAAAATGTGCGACTGGGAACGTATGAACCTGGTCTGAATTTAAATTCTACACGCCGATCTTACTTTCTAAACCAATAGCCAGGCTGACGGCTACGTCGTTGAAACATCGGTTCCCATACGATCACCGAAGTTAAGCAACATCGAGCCTGGTCAGTACCTAGATGGGTAACCGCCTGGTAGTACCAGGTGTTGTAAGTCTGGATGTGCAGGTTGTATATTAAATAACGACTTGGAGATTAGAGAGCTGAGTTCCACTTCCGGCCAGGTTCATTATATTCACTTAAGCGCAAACACTCTTGGAATAGGTATTAATTCCCTATCTTCCATATACGTTAACCATTAGAACTTGTATTATTATTCTCCCACCAAAAAAAAAAAAAAAATTCTTGCAATCTAAAAAATGTTTTGGCTTTAAATAACCTGCAAAGGGCTGATAAGCCGTAGAAAATGAATGAATCAATAAATAACCCAGTAACTACCACGCTACTCGCATATCCACCTGTAAATATACCCCCAAAAATATGTGTGAGTAAAGAACCACTCAGATGGCCAAAACTTATTTTAGGCTATTAAATTCATCAAAAATCTCTTGCAGCTTAAGGTGACATTTTTTTTCCTAAGACGAGAGGGAAAAACAAAAATAAGGAATAAGAGAGATTAGGTAGATTATTCGCTATTTCTCATTGTCTCTCTTGCTTTCGATATATCATGTAAGTGTTAAATTCTCAGGGCGTTTTTCTTCATTAAGTGTTCCAGAAATTTCAATTACCTCTCTCTGATTCGAAACACATTTAGGTCCTGTTTTCCTTAGAAAAAAAAAACCCTACCCTCTCATGTTCCGTCCATGGTATTCCAAGCGCCGTTCTACAGAATCACAATTCTATTGCCTTCTTTTTATCTGCGAGGAAATATGGCAGAATTCACTGGCATACAGGAGGAATGATATTGCATAGCAGTTCAGGATTCTTTTCTTTGTTTCTAACAACTGTTTACCAGTCATATGACACAAAAGATATTAGATTTCCTGAAAGAAATGTAGAAATTCATAAATGATAGCAGACCAAACAAAACAAAATCTTGCAAGCACGTTGCAGATACACTGCATTATACGAAGCGTCAGTCGTGGGAAGTTATGGTGTTCTTATGGTTGACTGATTGGTAGAAGAGTGACTACGATTTGTACTGATTGATTCGGTTGCTTAGTGATCATTACTTAGTTAAACTTAGGGAATATATTGCTTAACAGGTATCATTCGCTAGCGGTTGATTCTGATTTTCATACGTTAATCACTCTGTTGTAAAAACAGAACCAGTGAATAAACTTAAACCAAAGCTTTATTGCACTTTACGGTGACTACTTGTCTACTGTCAGATATTACAGGGTGATTTTTATACCTCCTAGATCTTAAGGGGAGGTAACTGATGATTTATCAGTACACACTCATTAGTATATTACTATAGCGTCCTGGGTATGACGATAAACTACTTCCCTTTCCTGGGTGAGACGATAAACTACGTCCAACAGCAACGCTTCAAGTTTTGAGGAACGTGGAACCACTTTTTAATTGCTAGTGTTCCCAGATCCACCCTGACCCGGAGTGGTAGCACCTGTTAGGGTCCCAACTATGGGTAAATAGTTAACCTCTAAAACACTATGAAAGTATAAAAATAGGTTTTAATACCAGAAATACTTTGTAAAAAATACTTATTACCAGCAATACATTTTTGAAAAAAATAAAAAGATATTACCAGCTGTACATTTTTTAAGAAAAAATATTACCAGAATTAGAAATTTTGTCGGAATTAAATAACACATTGAGGTTGATATGCCATAAAACAAAACAAACCAAACCAGACTATATTACTATATTAAAATGAGTTTACTGAATGTCATGCGCGTTTTATGTTGAGGGATATTTGTCATATTAAGCTTGAGCGTGTCTGGCTGGTGACACTGTTGTGATTATTCGGTAGACTAAATTAAGTTTACTAGATCTCTATCCTGACACCACATGTCAAATAGTTATTGTCGTAGGACATTTCTAAAGTACATTCACATTTGGTCCCACCTTTCTTCCTGGCTGAAGATTAAAATGAGGAAAAAACTAAAAAAAGAAGTAAAAGAGAGAATTGTATAAGTGTGGTATAGGGAAATTATAGTAAAACAAAGAAAAAGGGATGAGAAGAAGAAGAAGAAGAAGAAGAAGAAGAAGAAGAAGAAGAAGAAGAGGAAGAAGGAAATGGAAGAGGAGGAAGGACATAAAAAGGAGAAAAGAAATAAGACTGGAATAAGAACTGGAACATGATTAAACAAAGGAGAATAGAAACAGAAGATCAAAAGAAAAGGTGGGATTCTCTTACCCAGTAAACCACAATTCTATCTTAAATATCGGAGTATGCTATAATCTTCTGTCGACAACCACGACTTGTTCCGCTTTGGCTTGTCACTGCCCACTATGATCACCGCTTCGGCTTCTTGAAAAGTCAAACGATGACAATGGCCACATTTTTCATCAAGGAAACTCAGGCTGCTTGGATGTCGGATACAATCGGAAGTACAATCGATAAAATCAATATTTCCTCTGGCATTTTGCTTTTGTTACGTACGGGAGATTCTGGCGGGGGCTTTTGAAGAGTAGGACGAGGAGAAGGAAGAGCCGAGTGCACGAGAAGTTACACGATAACGTGAAACGATATGCAAGGAGAGAAACGAAGGAAATGGAAAGAAAAACAGGTCTACTCTCCCTACTCTCACTAAAAAAAAAAAAAAATTAATAAAATGAAACGGAAAAAAAGGAAGGATAAGGTTAATCGAAAAACAATTCCACCCCAAACGAAAGTAAAAAAAAAAAAAAATTTAAGTTCTTCACAAGGACAGAAGAAAGCGAAACAATGAAAAAACAAAAACCAAAAAAAAAAAAAATATATAGCTATAAATAAATAAAATAAACACTACAAAAAGCTAAAATAAAAACAGCAAAAAAAACACATTTTTTTCTTTTGTATTTTGCCAGCATTTCGTATTGCCGATTCATCCCTGCAGTTAGTTTAAAAAATATTTTTCCTAAAATTATATGAATTTTTTTTCACATTTCGTAAATACTTTTTGCCATTGTTCTCTTTCGCTTTGTTTTCGTCATAATATAATTCATTTAATCCTTTTTTTCTTTGTTTCTCTCTTAATTTTCTCATGTGTGTATTTTAACGGGCGGGGTTTTGCGAGTGTCGATCAATCGTTCTGGAGAGTGATAACTGAGCTATTCGATGAATTTAGATCAGTAATTTTCACTGTATAATAATCGATGATGAATTTGATTTTGGGATTTAGATTCAGATGAGTTTGATTTACAGAGTTTTCTCTAAGTTGGTAGCCCTGTGCCATACTAAGTTAAGCTGGTGAATACATATCTATCTATCTATCTATCTATCTATCTATCTATCTATCTATCTATCTGAATCTATACTTATCAATCTGATCATAATTTTATGTATATACAAATATATATTTATATATCAACATATTCCTATCTATCTATCTATCTATCTATCTATCTATCTATCTATCTATCTATCTATCTATCTGAATCTATACTTATCAATCTGATCATAATTTTATGTATATACAAATATATATTTATATATCAACATATTCCTATCTATCTATCTATCTATCTATCTATCTATCTATCTATCTATCTATCTATCTATCTATCTATCTATCTGAATCTATACTTATATATGTATCTCAATCGGTACAAACTGTCTCAATCTGATCATAATTTTATGTATATACAAATATATATTTATATATCAACATATTCCTATCTATCTATCTATCTATCTATCTATCTATCTGTCTGTCTATCTATCTATTTCAATCTTCATATATATGCATCTCAATCAATTCAAATCTGACCATATTTATATGTATATATACAAATATATATTTAATAATTGTGCATTTGGGAAGCAATTTCTTTTTTATACAAGTTCCATTAAATAAACTGACAAGATACTGCGGTTAAGTTTTTATTTAATTTATCTTGTGTTCTTATAATTGTCTTGTATTCCGGGGATAAGTTATGTAGAAATTGACCAAAGGTTTTGTATGTTCGAGCGCTTTCAACTATAATGTAAGCCATGATCAAAGATGATTTTATTTTAATTTTTATTGAATGTATGGATTGTTTGATTTATGTATCTAGAGGTATAGGAACGATTTATTTTCCAAACACGGTCAGCATATTATGGCCCTGTTCATAATTGATATTACTGAGTGTTAGCTTTTACTTTTTTATTAATAATGCTTCCATTATATTTTGTCTTTTTTACATGTACGAGTACGTTCCGGATCGAGTTTGGTAGGTCTCCATATGTATTTAAAATGGATACAGGTTCGAATCCTGGCGGATAGGGCATATTTTTGTTTAATAAGATTTCTAGAATATTCAGGCTGGTAGACGAAAATAAATACATATACTGTTTAATAAATATGAGTATCAAGTAAAACTAACGTTTAAGTAATAAAATCTGTCACTTTAATAAATAAAAAAAAATCATCACTTCATTAGAAAATGTATATATACATATACAAATATGCACACACACACACACACATATATATATATATCGATCTATTTCTATTTATCTATTACATTATATTCACATCTTTTATTTATCTAAATATCCATATCAATCTCTTTATCTAGATAACTGCTTCTCTCTCCCTTTCTATTCCCCCTCTCTCTCTCTCTCTCTCTCTCTCTCTCTCTATATATATATATATATATATATATATATATATATATATATATAATTTATGTGTGCATGTATTGCATTATGTTCGTATCTATCAATCTACGTTCCCCCACACGGCTCAATCCCACCATTACATGGCTGCTTGAAATTTTCCCAAGATAAATTTAATGAGAAAATACTCATTAAAATCTTCATAACTTTTTCTCGTCTTCTTTTCGTGAAACTACAAGGAATAATGAATATTTCATTATCATTTTTATTTCTTTGAAATTTCTAGTATGATGCCTGCTTAGTATCTTCATGTTCATTCTCCATCCTCTGTACACGATCAGGCGAATACAAGTTTATTGCAACTTCAAGACATCGAGACCGCTATTACCTGTCTTTTCCATCATATATACTCGGCTGGAAAGTCCTGTCTCACTTAGGAAGAGGAAA